CAAAGTTGGGTCATATGCTCAGGATTTTTCTCATCACTATGTAACTCAATTTGAATGCTATAATCAAAGGATACATTATCTATAATATACTGAATTTCCTTCTTCGTTAATTTAGATATACTGTCAGCAGAAAAGGAATGAATGCGATAAATTTTATCCATACCTATTGCATCAAAAAGTTTATAAAGCTTCTTTGCTTTTTCGATTCTCTTACGTAAAAGGCTATCAGAAGTATCTGCGGGTAACTGTGTTTTTATTTCTTTATTTAAAATTCTACCAACAATATTGGATTCTGGATCAACTTGTTTTTCCGATGCTATTTCATTACGTCTTTGAATAAGGGCCTTTCCAAATAGGCAATAACACATTATAGCTTCTTGGGTTTTACGATCAGCAAGAATTATAGCATCACAAAGTTTTTCATATAAAAGCGTAAAGTTAGCATTGCTGGGTTGAAATTTTGTTTCATTCGGGGTTACATTACCATTAGCCGTGCTAACTTTGCTAATAATAGAATCGGTATATTGTAATTGTGGACTAGAGTTTTCAGAAACTTCTAACATAAATCTTTGTACTTTGTTTTTATTAGATTGCGAAATATCTTTATCATATGATAAAGGGTCTTGAGATCTGAACTTATTTTCCCGATTTCTTTCTCTTATCTCATTACTAATCGTTTCCTTATGCGTTGAGTCCAGAAATTCATTAATCTCCCTATCTTCCAATAATTTAGTTTCTGTGCAGATAGATGACGCAGATTCTGAGCTTTTCTCAATTTCGCCAAGATTAGATGTAACATTTTGTACCAGATTTGGATCCACAGGGCCTATATAATTTTCTTCATTGGAGTAAGTTTCAATAGTTGAAGCGGATGATTGAGAAATTACAGATAATTCTGAACAAGCTGAGGATGGCAAAATATCTTTTGTGGGAGATGCTTCCTGTTCGTTAATGGTAACCCGGATCTGGTTCTGTTCTAATTTGGTAACTCTGTCTTTAAGCTCATCATTTTCAGCAATAAGGATGGCAGTATCCGTTTTATTTTTTTTCTCTAGCTCTTCTAACCTGGTTTTGAGACCAGTATTCTCTTCCATGACCTGTCTTAGCTTCACGTTCTCAGCCTCAACCTCAGTATACTTCTTTTTAAGTTCACTAATTTCAGCTACAAGCTTGGAATTCTGTTCTAATAAATCGATTTTAGATTGCGTGTTTGTCATTGTTTTATATAAGATAGAGAAATATTCAAAAGCTTAAGTTAATAAAAATTACATGAGTACTTGAAAAAAAAAACATCAATCACTTCGTGAACTCGGTTCACAAAGAATTCACTTTGCCAAAAAATTTAGATAAAATTTTCGATACATCAATGAAGTTAGCATGGTCAATAAATTTACGAAATACACATGCGAAAGTAAACGCGATTATTTATGCGAAATTGAGCTACCAGGGCCCAGTTTTATTGATACAGTAAAAATAAAAATAACTACAGGATATATATATTTTAGAAATTTACGTTTTTATCTGAAGTACCTGTATCAGTGGAAATATTTTGTCGACATCATTAATACCACAACAATTAGTATGAAAATCGAAATCAAAATGCAAATTGGCCAAAGGTTTGACATAGTAATACGTTTATTTAACAAAACATATACATTATATCAGAAAATAGACTCTTCAAAAATGAAATTATTGTTACATTATTTGGCTAATTTAGCCTTCTTTTGTTTTGCCGATTCTATTAACCTTTCTGCATCTTTTAATAACCAAACAACCTGTCCTAAGACCTCAGTAAACCCTTCCTCAATATTGCCACCCCAATTGATTGTAGTCCCATGTTCTGAATGAATTTTATATTCTGGCTTATCTCCATTCATAGAACACTCGAAGAAATACCAACATTTACTATCAGTAACTATTCCATACACTTTATCAATAACCAAATCATTTTCAACCTCACGTTTTCGCTTTCGAGAATTCTATTGAATAACAAAGTTAGGTTTGAATAAAATTAATATAGTTAAATTCATATTTTTACTCACCTCAAGCGATGAATGAAGCTGTACGATTATTTGCGCTGCACCTTGTATAAAATCATCTCTTTTTACCTCTACAACGCTGATGATTATATTTTCCAATATCATACAAAAATCTACTGGTCCACGGCAATATCTCCCTTGAATATACTCTTCAGGATATATTTGAGCCTTATTACCACATATGGAGCTTGCCACTGCAAGAAAAGGAATTACAAAATGACTATTATAAGCTTCAGAATCACCGCGGACTGTTGATTGACGAATATTTAGTTCTTTAATAAGATGCAAAATCAACTCTTGGGACTTTTTATCTTCAAATTTATCGATACCACAAGTGAATTTAGGAAGATCTTTGTAATGAGCCGGTAGTTTGAATATATTGCTAACATCATTGAAGGTCCATTCCGAATATGGTTTCTGTACAGTATAAACATTGATTTTAAAACTTAGAGAGTTCGTTGCTACACAGAACTTGAGATATTGTTCATATGATTTATCATCAATTAGGCTTTGCTCCTCATTATTTTTGGCATTATCATTACTGCTACAAAGAATTAAATCTTCTGGATC